ATCTTGTTCCCTGTGCTGAAGATGACTTTTCATGACTTTTTTTATGAAAAAAAAAAAAAAAAAAATGAGAGGCGGCTAGAAAATCAGGGTCGGGCGGTGACACTAAACAAATATTTTTTTTTTTTGGGGCCTAATGTAGCTTCAGTCCCATCTCTGACATAAATATCTGTTAACATTGTGCTGGTAACATTTTGTTATCTTGCTCCATGGTTGGAAAGTTCAAGTTGATAATTTCAACGTTACTTCAAAATGAGCAAGTTAATTTCAAAATTGACTTTATATTTCTTTTTTAATTTTCTGGAAACTCTACATCTTTAATGTAGAAACTAGTACAGCAGCGGCTGTTTTAAAACAATAAATTAGTATTGAGATAGCCGTTTCTAGAAAAAGTTCAGTAAACTAGTGTCTGTTATAAAGGAATTAGCACAGTAGTGGCAATTTTATACAAGAAATTAACACAGAAATGTCTATATCATTTAAAAGAATTTGTAAAGAACATCTGTTTTGCAATGCTTTTTTAAATGGAAGAAATTAGTATGGAAAGTGTGAGAATGCTTGAATGTCTTTTTATTAGTTCTGCATGATGTGTCCAAGTCTACCGAGGCATGAAAGACAAGTGTTAACAGTCCTCATGATGACTCATCTTCACATAGATAGTTATGTAAATAAAAATAATAAATAAAAAAAATTATAACCATCAGTAAAAGCCTGTTGCATGGTGGTCTAGTAATGCAGTAAGAGCATGGTAGCTTCTTGGTATTACTTTCCAGTTAAAAAATCATAACTATTATTTCTGTTAATTACAGTATTCTAATTCCATAAAAAAAATAAAAATTGAAATGCTCATGTTATCTTAACACAGTTCATTTTCCAACTGCAAGGTATTTTGTTATATGATCATGACCCAGCCTAATTTTAGAAACTCTAGGCAATTTTTGTTATTGGCATGTCAATAATCATATTATTCATAATAACATTCTTATTAAATATTTGTTGAATAATTTTATCGGACATTAATCACCTCGTAATTTTGCAAGCCATGTATCACAAAACTTTTTTTTTTTTTGTAAAACTATTGTACTAAAAACTGTCTCCTGAATGGAAATATATTTCATTATGAATCACTGCATATTTATGAGAACGACTTGCTGCCAAAACAATCTAGTTCATATTAAGTATCCTCTCGCAAAAATATTCTTAGTCAATTTTTGTGACAAACTATTAAAGAGTAAACAGGATCAGAGGGCTTATGTTAAGCTGGATCAATAATACTGAAGACCTGCAGGTATCGGTAAGCGCCAGACTGGTGCAGTGCTAACGAGTGCTTAGGGCAACGCATTTGTTATGTACTCCCGCACTACTCAAGCAAATGAATTTGTAACACAAGTGTTTTATAATAGTTAGCGAGAGTAATAAGATTCAATCAATATATAGAAGCCAACATTAATCTACCAACAAATGCCAATATTTCTTTGCAAGCAAAGATTTTGATTAAACTAGAAGTCATTTATTTAATGGCTTTAATATTATTGCAAGAAGCAGGATTGCAAAGGGATTATATTGACCTCAACTCAAAGAAATAAGAAATTACTTGCAGATACTCTATTCAGCAATGCAACTTTTGACCCCGAAGGATACGTACAGTACTGTTTTTACCCAGGAATCATCTTCCTACACCACTATGATAAACTCTATTGATTTGTAACACTACTGGTATTGTCTTTGTGTAAAGTAAAAGTTTAGAATTAAGAATAACTTGGTCAAATCACTCTTTTTATTCTTAAAGAACGATTCTTAAATATCTATTATTAATAAAATAATATCCTTTTACTAATTATTAAGTAGGCCTAGTCATAATTTAGCAATTCAACTTTTGACCCCGAAGGATACGTACAGTACTATTTTTACCCAAGAAATATCTTCCTACACCACTATGATAAACTCTATTGATTTGTAACACTACTGGTATTGTCTTTGTGTAAAGCAAAAGTTTAGAATTAAGAATAACTTGATCAAATCACTCGTTTTATTCTTAATAAACGATTCTTAAATATTAACTATTATTAATAAAATAATATACTTTTACTAATTAATTAGGCCTAGTCATAATTCAATAATCAACTAATTAACAGTAATAACTTTATTACTCGAAAAATTGCTTATCTGTGTTAGTGTTTAAATGTAATAAATTCTGAGGAAGACCGTGGTATACGGTTGAAAATTTCATGGTAGGAAAATTTTTCTGTGTTGTGATCAAAATTTTAAACTTTTATTACAATAATTTTATTAATATTTTTTAAATTGGTCTTACCATACAAGGCATTGTAGCCATCCATAAGCCAATAACGGAAGACAGGAAAGGACTATCCATGGTGATTTGGATTTCAAATACAAGGAAATGTATGCTGACATATAGCTAGGAGCCTGTATGCCTTGTAAATGTCTGTTACAAGCAATTTTATGTGGATGAAGAATAGAGAGGGGCCTGGGAGGAACTTTCACCTTTCACTCTCAAATTTAACTTTTAATATTATTTTTAAAAATTTGGGGGGAGGGAAGCTAAATTAGCATTTTGTCTAAAAATTACTAAAAATAGAGGGTATGACATATTTACCAAGATTTGCTATTACCACAAAAACAATAGTACACTCCAACATACCTGTGTAGATTGGTGTTTTTGGTTTGGCTGGTAACTCTCTCTAGGCCAATGACCACCTAAGTATGTGGCGATTGTATCGAGGGAACTTGTGCGGCGGATGGACGGTGGTGGGGTTGCTCTCATAGGCTTTGGTTTTTCAACTGAAAAATATAAACACAATAAAAAATGAAATAGTAAATATTATATGTTTCAACTGAATAAAAAACATGTTTTATTTAGTAGAGCATTATGAAGCACAGGACATGTCTGAGACAATCATACTAAGATACATCAACACTGGAAGACCAAATAAAAACAATGCTAATATAGACGTTTAATCTCTATACAACCTTGGTTGTATCAATGTTGCATTCTGTTTTTTTCAGTATCTTTATGTTCAATTTACTTTTATAATGCATTGCACAATAACACTGTCAATTTTATATACATAACAATACAAAATAATAATAATTTAAACAAAAATAATAACAATAGCGTTACTTTAGTTTTACAATATTAATAATTGCTTCACTATCCTCTCCTTAATGGGCCTTTTCAGCATGATCTAGACTTTTCCGTAGAATGCCTTTGAAATAATGAATCGTAGACCTGTGTTTTGCTCAAGAACATAAGGAACCCGCAGTGAGGCTCAAACCCCAGATGACAAGGTTTATTTAAATCCGAGCCATGACTATTGCACCAACCGCTTCCACTAGCTTTTTAAGCACAAATAAAATACATTATTTTATTTACAGTTAGCTTAGAAATTACTGAAATATTGGAAACATATTACTATACCTATAGCTAAAAAGTAATCCCTAAAAATAACCTTATACAGGCATGCCATAATATTATATTGGCTAAATGAATATCAACAAGGTAACTTTAAAAATATATTTGAAATATATATTTATCTAGAAATTTTATATTTTTGATAACAATCATTTTATTGAAGATAGAAACAGTGTCTTGAATTGATAAATCCTGATAAAGAATGCACTAGGTCTAATAAAAGATGTGTATTTAATCAGAGTGAAATGGTGGGATTTTTTTCTACACCTGAAAAGATGTATGAACATTACTGTATGCACTGTAGCTATGTAACTAAACTAGATATCGACACTATTCACTAAATTTCAGAAGGTGTGGTGTTACAATGTCAGCAATTAAGATGGATATTCTCTACAGTAACAAATTTATTAGTTAACATGAATACTGAACACTCATTCATTCAGTACTCTAAAAATAGATGAATAAATCAAGACAAGTAGTCATGTGGTTGGCAATGGCCAACTAATGTTCTAATCTAACATGGTTGATGTACTGTCAAACAGCTGTTGAACTGAGCACTGGTAGTATGGAAGGCAAACACCAACAAATATAGTATTTTGTTTGTTTAAACAAAACATCAATGTGTTAGTACATGAGTATATTGTTAATTTTTGCAATAATGATTGTATGTTTGTGCATGTAACTTGTTCGTGTGTAAGTAGTATTTGTTTTCTAAACATGTTTATTATGGCAGTGTTTGCCTTTCATACAATAATTTTAGGTAATGATTTTTGAAGGATGGATGAAGCAGGATTATTGGAAGTAGAGCTGATATCCTCTGAACAGGGTCACACAGGTAATTTCAGCACATCATTTTTGCCACAAGTGGTATCAGCTTATCAATTACATTTTAAGTGAAGTATGGATACAGATGCTATGAGATGCATCACCACCTACATATGAGAGACATTATATAGTATAGAAAGATGAAAGTAGAAAGATGGTTTTTTGGAATTGCATCACCACTTTGTAACCTTTATTATCCAATACAATACAGTATCTTGGTTATTTCAAAGCGTAACATAGGGGAAGAAGCTCCATTATCCTGTAAACTGTACAAGTTCAAGCTTCATAGTAGATCTGAAACCTGGATATTGTGCCTATTTGCTTTGCAAATGGCTCAAAAGTAAATACAGACCTAAAAATTATGCAGGAAAATATCTGGAAGATGCAACATAAATTACATTTTTTTAAAGAGAATTTTACAATGCATCACACAGATAGTGTGTAATACCCGATTCACACGTGAAGTTAAATTTAACAAAAAGTAACAAATTGTAACCGAGCGATCTCCCGAGTTATTCCTACCGAGATAAAAAGCATTCACACGCGTCTGTAAGGTAATGCCAAGGTTGTGTAAAATTTATTCAGTGTTTATTCAATGAACCATTTTTCCCCTACTGCGATATAGGTCTAGTCTAGGCCT